GGTTCCTTGTCGTGGTATTGAAGGTGGAAGGGAGCTCTGTCCATTCACTCCCCCCACCTACAATCCCTGCCGGTACGAGACTCGAACCCTCAACTTTTGGGTTACGAGTCCGACTCTAACCATTAGGCCACGACTTCCCCATGAAGATGAAGAAACTTAAAAATTATAAATGTTGCCTTGGCACTAACTGACATAAAATAAGTTTAAAGTGAATTACTAAAATTACTGAAATAAAAATAAATAAAAGCTAAAAAGAATATTTAAAAAAAATAATAAACATGACAGAAGCACATAACAACATTATTAAAACCTAAATTTAAAATTAAAACAAGTACATGGTGTTAGATAATATTACATTTAAGGGCAAATCTGTTCCAGTAAGGCTGTGTGGAAGAAACCTGGCACATACCCGTGAACTGGCAGGCATAAGATTTTCCTCATGCTAGAGAAAATCTTGTCAACAGCATCAGGATCTCTATTAGAGCCAAACTCTGTAGCGATGATTGACTGGTTAATCTCTGTTAATGACATGGAAACAATTAGAAAGAATTAAGATGACTGCCAACAGACAAACACGGAATGCAACTGGATCAACATTCTCAGAAGAACGGTTACCTTTTTGGTCCGACACTTGCAGCGGCTGTCCGTTGCAAAATGCACCCTTCCCTTTTCGAGCCGTGTACATCTTGTCTTCTATGCAGCTATAAACCACACCAAACTCTAACTGCAACAGAAGAATAATGAGTCTGACAGACGCTCTTCTCACTGGATGAACTTCCAACCTTACAAAGGCATGATAAATGTGACCCTGGAGCACAAAACCAGTCTTCAGTCGCTGGGGTATATTTGTAGCAATAGCCAAAAATACATTGTATGGTCAAAATTATAGATTTTTCTTTTATGCCAAAAATCATTAAGATATTTTGTAAATTTCCTACTGTAAATATATTAAAACTTAAAGTTTGATTGGTAATATGCATTGCTAAGAACTTCATTTGGACAACTTTAAAGGCGATTTTCTCAATATTTAGATTTTTTTTGCACCCTCAGATTCCAGATTTTCAAATAGTTGTATCTCGGCCAAATATTGTCCTAACAAACCATACATCAATGGAAAGCTTATTTATTCAGCTTTCAGATGATGTATTGACCCTTATGACTGGTTTTGTGGTCCAGGGTCACAAATGAGCAAGAAAACAAAGTGGAGAGCAGAGCGGCAGTTTCTGATTTTATCTCACCACGCAAAGATCTATTACCAGTGCTGTCAACTTTGTTATTCTAAAATTAAGAGAGTGCATTTGAAAGCAAATGATGCTTACCATTTTGTTGACAGCAAAGCCAATGGATATAGCAACAAATGGATATCTGGACAAAGAAAAGCATATTTATTTTGTATAGCTCATGCTAGAAAAGCTATGGCTGAAAATGAGTAAGAAATAATGGCTAAAATAACCGTTTCACTAACATTGTTGTGCTTATAATATAATTTGTACTTACAAATACTTTAAATATTACATTATACTCTATTGCTTTTTGTTTATTATTATTAATAATTTTTCATTATTTAATTTGATTATACTCATTTTTATCAGTGAATAAAAATTACCCATGCACAAAGTTAGTGGTCCCATCCACAGGGTCAACAATCCATGTTGGGTTTTCAGTCAAAACACAAGGTTCTCCTGCAGCCACTGACTCTTCACCAATGAAACTGAAACAAACAGGAGCAGTGACTGTCTCTTTACTGTAGACCCAATATACTCTATCTAGGAACTTTAGACCTTAGGTATCAGAGAAACAAGTGTGCAGCCATCTTTAGAATTTTGTCTCTAAACTTCCATTTTTGCGGTAGCCATGTATATTTCTATAGCATCACTGTTAAAGTGTAATTAGCTGGTGAAGAGGATATCCTTACTGTAGAGTTAATGAAGGTTACAATGAGCATTGTAATGTTCGAAGCGGATGTCAAGTGTAAGTAGACTGGGAAGATTTTAAAACGAGCGGTTCATTCATAAATTCCTATGACCTTTTTTTTTTCTTTTGCGCACAAAAAGTATTCTCGAAGCTTCGTATAAAATTGCGGATGAACCACTGATTATTAGGAGTGGTTGTAAAATAAATGGATTATTTTACAGATCTCCTTGCTACGTTTCTGGACTTGGGAACATTTCAGTTGCATTGCTGTCTATGCAGGGTCAGACAGCTCTCAGATTCCATCAAAAATATCTTAATTTGTGTTCCGAAGATGAACGAAGGTCTTATGGGTTTGAAACGGCATGAGGGTGAGTAATTAATGACAGAATTTTCATTTTTGGGTGAACTAACCCTTTAAAGCTCTTCTGACACTGTGTTAAGGCCCGTTCACACCAAAGCACAATAACTATAATGATAACGATAAAGATATAGTTCTAAAAATCATTCTCAATATTAAAGAATAGCATAGGTCACACCACAACTATAACGATAACGATACAGAGGAACGATATCGTTGTGATCACTTTCAAAACAATTTTTTTTCCAGCTGATGAGCGATAAAACACTGACAGCCAATCAGAATCCATCCTGCTGTAACGAGCTCAAGAATTTAAAGCGGCAGAGGCATGTCCGCTTAGAATAAACAGACGATATGGTTCGCTGGTGTGGACGTTAATATCGTTATCTTTATAGTTAACGTTCTTGGTGTGAACGGGGCTTTAGTATGAAGGACTCAATACCTGTGTCCAGGAAACTTCTCCTTCACTGATGTAATAATAAGTTGCTCCACATTCTGGTCTGTTTTAGTGACCAGGTCGACAGAAGAGCTTTTGCACATGATCTTCAGGTCATTCTGCAAAGCATCCCTCACGATCTGAAGACAACAGAGATAAAATGTTTCTGTAAAGATGACTTCAAATTACAAAATCTATTTTAAAAGAATGATGCTATCTCACCTCTCCGGCTTTCCTGGCCAAAGTCACGGCATGGTCCATGGCATCCTGCCAAAGGTCAGGCATTGTGCCTTTACGTAAGGACCCCCTTTCTGATCGGACATAAAAACACATTTATTTATTCTCATCAATATCAGACAGCAGCTACAGGAATGCTGCAGTGTTGCTGCTGTAAATCAATTCATGAGTCACACATGATAAAAGCTGTGTCTAAAATCGTATTTTATTTGAGGAGACCGTTTATGTTTCTGATTAATTCCATATTTTTACCACTTTGCTGGTAGTCCCTTAATCTCTGCACACACTCCTTATATAGTGTTCTTCCTATAAACAGGCCTCCAACTGGGGTCTGACTTTCTTTAAAGAACCTCTACCCTAACAAAAAATTACTATGGCAATTTACCTGCTGTAAAACCTGAATGATTTATTATATTATTATCTAATAATTATTATCTGTCTTTAATTTAAGTTCCATTTTGACCGTGGTGGCTAGTAAAAAGTTCTTAATTGTCATTTTCACCATATCTTGCTAAGGCTAATTTTATAGCTAGCTATCCTAATTACACACAATTAAAACAAATTTTTACGTATTTCCAATTTTCAAAAATTAGGAGTGCCCCCAAGTACCTTAATTTGTACAAAGGGGCACTCCTAATTTTTGTAAAGATAAATATAAAGCATTTTTACAATTAAATTTTTATAAATGGTGTACACTTATTTCACTCGGTTTAGACTATCAGTTTGAGAATGAAATGTAATAATAGCTTTAATAATTAAATTATCTTTAATAAACATTCAACACCTGAATTGTATCAAGCCCGAACATCCTATTTCATGGAAATGTATGTAATGGGTTTAAATCAGCTAGCAACAGAAAACCCAGTCATATCTGACTGTACTTAAACATTTTAAGTATTTTATAGTCCATGAACTACATATTCTTATGTAGTTCATTCATATATATATATATATTCATATATCAAATAACTTTCGCTTTATGGATTCTAGCTAATCTTTAGTGAAGAAAGAAACCCTACAAATCTGCTTCCGTTCTTTACTGGACCATTTATAGTTACGCTAAATATTAAAATCGGTGCAAACAATCCATAATGATCTATGCACATATATAATGACATTTTAAACATGTTCAAACTTGACAAAAAAATAAATAAGACGACAAAATTCTTACCGACGACCGGCGAAATGAAGACGAGCTGTTGTTGAGTTTCCGGGTTCTTGGAGGACCAGACGAGATTAACCCTAAAACATCTGATTATTTTTAGAAAACTAACGAAGCATTTAGTACAATGAAATATCCCACTGTGCCTTCTTATATAGATAATAAATACTATACAATTTCAATGTTATGTTTAGCAACTACAAGCTTTTTTCCCCCTAAAATTACGTTGCGCATGCGCATTATGTACTTTTAGCATACCGGTGTCAAAATAAAAGTTCCCCAGTCCACATATTTTTTAACATTAGTCATAATAAATAAAACGAAATAAGTAAATAATAAAACCAAATATTATTAATTTATGAAAGCAACATAAAAGTCTGCATACTTATTTTTATTGTTGTATTACGTGTATTGGAATTGATGATTTTCCGAACAAAAATAAAAAGGATCAATACTATGTGATTTTATTGTACCTAACCTTTATTGCAGCACTCAAACAAAACATTTACAGTTGTTTACAGATTTGTGAAAAGTCACCCAAAACTCCCTAAAATTGCATTGCTTCAATAACTTAAAATGAGTCCTATGAGCCTATACAGCAGGATTTCATGTAAACCTCTGGATAGAAAGCCTTGAGTAAACCTTGAGTAAATGCTCCCTTCACAAATGGTGTTATTGCTGGTTGTGAGGTGCCTGTCCCTTGAACCTGTACCAAGGCTGCTATATCTAACCTTTCACATATGGCTTTGAGAAGTTAACACTTTCATAAAATTCATTCAATTTGACTATAAAATGTCAAATCCTAAATAAAAGAAATCCAAAAAAAAAAAAAAAAAAAAGTTTACTTTGTAAAATTAATACCACTTTAAAAATTCACATTGACTTCAAAAGTGTTAGGGGAAATTAAAACTTTCAAAAAATTCATTTAATTTGAATAAAAAAAGTAAAAACCAAAAAAAAAAAAAAAAAAAAAAAAAAAAAAAAAAAAGTTTACTTTGTAAAATTAATACCACTTTAAAAATTCACATTGACTTCAAAAGTGTTAGGGGTCCAAAACACCCTTTAGTGTTGTAGAAAAAGAAAAACAAACCCTACAAACTATATTTCAGCCACTTGTATATGTTATAAAACCATTGTTTTGAAGAGATCTGCAGCATTTCCTAAAGTCTATCACAAAAACAACATCTATTCTGGCAGGCCCCATAAAACCACAGTGTAACAACATTACCATGAAAAAAATAATAATAATTCCACAAGTGAAACAATTCAGGAGCCAGAATTGGATTTCCTTCAAAAGATCAAACAAGTTTTCAATATTTTAACCAACTACTCTGCATCAAGGGTGAAAGCTACATTGTGTTGTAATAAAAACAATGACAACATTAATAGTAAATACAAACAAATTTTTGACTAGCTATGATATTAAAGTGATAAAATAACCAGTCATCTCTTTCTGAATGCACAACGACAAAATTATATTGTATTCTTACCGATGTGCCTGCAACAGTTGAAAGGGCCAGAATAAATGCACTGTGAAGTCAATACATAGGCAGTGCATGACATTTGACAAATTAATAAGCATATATGATTTGTGATCTCCCACAAAAACACCAGGTAAGATCTTTACCCTGCTATAAAAATAAAACTTTGTGTAAAGTAGGTTGCTCCATATTTGTGTGGGCATCCTTCACCAGTTATTACATAAGACACCCATTTAAACAACATTGGTTGTCATACGCATACTGCACAGCAGCTGGAGTTTCTACCTGAAACAGAGCTTGTCAAATCATGAGCCTATGAAACATGACTTACTGAAAAAGGCAAAAGTATAAAAAACAGGATGGGCAAGCTATGCATCAGAGTTAAAAAAAACAAATGTGAAATTTCCTAAATGTGAAGGAATGCAAAAACAAGTTTTCTGCTCTCTCTGAGCTCTTAGCTAAACAGTTACAGTATTGAGGGGAGGGGGGGGGGTCAACAGAGGTACTAAAATGTTGACTGTACGCTGGAAAATACATAAGAAAACAGTGAAAACATACTAGTGAGAAAAATGGCTCAAATTATTGTTTCGCATAGTTAAAACATGAATTTTCAAATAGACACATACATACATACACGCACATGCACGCCCATTCACTCCATACAAAGTTCACATAGCAAAACCTGCCAGCATAAACTTGTCCTTGATATGCAACATTGGAAATGTAGACTCAATACATATTGGTAGTACAAAACCTAAGGGTAAAAATAGAGAAAGATCAGTGCAGCTTTGCATAGTACCTTCACATTGAAGCAAAACGTCAGATTTGTTGAAGAAAGAAACACTGATAAATTCAGTGCCGAGTTGAATATGAAGATCTCTGAGCTACAAAGCAACATGAAGGTGTTCGTACACACAGGATTGGAAACTACAACCAAACTATCATCAATGATCATTCAAAAAAGGCTACTTAACATCTATGTTAGAGGATGGGGAAAAAGCTTTGTCTGAAATTAAAGAAAAAGGATTCGAAAGAGAAAAGGGGTAAGAGTCAAATCACCAAACAAAAGTTGACAAAACATTCAAATAAATGTGTACTTGTACACATAGAGACTGCATTATCAATTAACAAACAGGCTTGAGTGTCCAAAAAAATAAAAAGAAAAGAAAATCCAGGAAAATTAAAGGGAAATAGTAGCGTTTTTTTTTTTTTACTCCATGATGGGAATTGGCAGCTGCACACTTCCAGTGGAATGCCATGTGGTGCTGGTCCTCTCCGCATCTCACATACTGCCTAATGTTTTATGTTTCTGTAAAACACAAAATTATCAGCTTTAAAAGACACTTAACCAGTTGTATGATGTTTTGTTTTCAGTTGAAGCACATACTGTATAAGGCAGAGACAGTCCACTCTTACATATGTGAATGTTTCTTTACTTTACAATGTGCATTAACTGGATTAGACTGATTTTTTCCCCATACATTTGAGCTTAAGAAGCACAATTTATGGTACCACATTGTTGTCCGGTTTAGTGAGGTTATGAATATGGCTGCTGGGACAACAAATTTGCCTTAAAAGGACATTCCTTGAACGCAGTTATACATACTTAAAGATTTACATACATACAGAAAATAAAAAGACATATGGAAATATAACCAACAAATTATTAATAAAAGATAGAAAAAATAAAGCAGTAAAGATAAAAATATCTATAGATACATAGAAATAATATAATGCAAATTCAAGTAAAGAGAGGAGAATTAAACTGCATGAGAAAAACATCCTAAATGAGATGAAAATTTAAATCATGATGAAAATGAATATCGATGGAAAAATTTTGATTACCTGTGGGCTCTTCTGTTTGGTTAATTTCCTCTGTTAAATGAATAAACAAGCAAGAAGGAAATATAATTACACGTTAATATAGATTTACGAAACAGACATTAAGCATAGAACGTATGACTCAACACAACTTTCTGTACAGATTAGGAAATCTTCCCATTCTTTATCTTTTATTTAATCATAAAATTGAATTACCAACCTGCTTCGTCCTCCTCAGGCTGCTCTTCTTCATCAGCGGCATCCTCTGTAACAAGACAGAGACATTTCACAACAAAGCAAATATAACTTCCTGTTATCTCTGTGTAGTATCTGATATTAACAGATAATGTTAGCATCCGCATTATTGTACTTATTGTACCATTTTAACATAAAAGACATTTTGGGTATTATTTCTTGCTACTGTATAATAACCACCTGAGTGAACTTGCGAAAACAAGAAAACTTACCCTCTTCTTCCCAATTCTCTGCCTCAAGCTCTGTTTCCTCCGATGTGGAGTCGTGTACTTCCTCATCTTCCTCAACTTGCTCATCTGTTTCTTCTATTATAACTTCCTCTTCTGTTCCAGTTTCTTCTGCAGAGACTGACTCCTCAACTGTCTCTTCAGGTGTTTCTACTTCTTCCACTGGTTCTGTTGTTTCAGGTTCCTCCTCTTGTTCAGGTTCCTCTACTGCTTCTTCTACTAGTTCAAGCTCCTCAACAGCTTCTTCTACCGGTTCAAGCTCCTCAACAGCTTCTTCTACCGGTTCAAGCTCCTCAACAGCTTCTTCTACCGGTACAACATCCTCCACTGCTTCTTCTACCTGTACAACCTCCTCCACTGCTTCTTCTACCGGTTCAAGCTCCTCAACAGCTTCTTCTACCGGTACAACATCCTCCACTGCTTCTTCTACCTGTACAACCTCCTCCACTGCTTCTTCTACCGGTACAACCTCCTCCACTGCTTCTTCTACCGGTACAACCTCCTCCACTGCTTCTTCTACCGGTACAACCTCCTCCACAGCTTCTTCCACTGATGCAGTCTCCTCTACTGCTTCTTCCACTGATGCAGCCTCCTCTACTGCTTCTTCCACTGGAGCAGCTTCCTCAACCGGTTCTTCAACTGCTATGACCTCTTCCTCTTTTGCAGGCTCTTCCAGTGCCTCATCAAAAGCCTCTTCCTCAATTGGAACAGTCTCTGTAACCTCAGACTCTTCCTCCACAACTTCTGGTTCTTCCTCAGGAACTTCTTGCTCTTCTTCAACCTCTGGTTCCTCCTCGGCTACTTCATCTTCTGCGGAAGTGGGCTCATCGTCTACTGCCAGAGGTTCTTCTTCCACAGGAACAGGCTCCTCTTCCACAGTCTCTGGTTCTGCAAGGGAAAAAAATAATTATAGTAAATTTATTAAACAGACTGTACTATACTCTTAGTGGTAGATGCCAAAATATTTCTTTGATGAACATGTAAGGGGTGGGGGATGTGTAGAACTTTGTGAATGCACCAATTCAGTGGTTAGGTCTAGTCATACTGCATTCTTTTGTAGTATTTACACATGTATACATCACAATGTGTATGAGTAAACAAATAGCAACAATTGCATATTGTCATTTCAAAGGACATCATAAAAGCCATACCTGGTGGTGGCTGAGCTGCTTCTTTAACTTTAGTGGCTTGGATTACTTCCTCCACGATAGATTCAGGAGCTAAATAAGAAAAAACTAATACACTTAGTTTGAAGGAAAACCGTCTGTTTTTTCTGAATTGAAAGCCTTTGTTTATTTGTCCTAAAACACACTTGTACAATAATGTTTTACTAAGATTTGAAGGTATAATTATTAAAGTCTGCTCTAACAGGTCAATGCGATAAATCTCATGTCATGTTATGCAAGAACTTTTGCGGTATGTGGAAAGACTCGTTCATCACTGGCAGACATTTCAGTTACAAAAGTGTCTATCAGAATAATTTTAAGTGGGAATATCAAAATAATTTCTACATAGTTCATAGGTGGTACATATATACACAGAGAACACTGTCCTTATGAACACTGTTAATGTTTAATGTTCCATTAGATAAGACCAACTCCCTTACTTACTAAAAAGATAGGTTTCTTGACAAATAATTAAAAAAAAATAATTATTATTTCAGGTTCAGGAAATTTCATCTTGTAATAATGGCAGCAGCTTGTAAATTTACTTTCCTAACTTGCATATCACATTAAATGTCTATTTGTGTTATAAAATCCTGCATCTTATTTTATTGACCTACAAAGATTTCTATGCATCAATAAATTCTCACTGCACCCTTATTTATTGCATAAAACGGTGTATGATTCTACATTACCTTCTTCCACTGGTTCAGCAAGGGTTCTCTCAACTGATTCACTGGTCTCAGTAGTGGATTTATCTTTCAGTCCTGAGGATTTTACATGTGGATGTGCATACATGAGGCAAGTGTGGAATACAATCACATGAAACAAGTGAACCTCTGTGAAGTGCATTTAATAGCCTTTACACTTTCAAAAAAGGATTTCCATAACAACCTTATGACGTTTGGTTTACTTTTGCACTAGATCTTTTTCTGTCCTTTGTTTTACAGGCACAAAGGTATGCATTTGATATTTGAAACAGACCAATAAGGAAACAGAGGAGAGGAAAAAGGAATATGTACAGAAGAGTTTACAGATATTATTAGGGAACAGAAAAGTATTCTTGTGGGAAAAAAGACCCGTTTTAATACCACTGTTTGTTTTTCTTATATTAATCAACACTGAAAAGAAAAACACTCAAAGCACTGATAAAACAAATCAGGGGATTCATATAGTTTATTGATAACAGAAGAATGTTCTCACTTTGTAAAGTAACGCTAGCTGTTCTATTTATTATAAATGAAAAAAATAAACAAAATCAGAGAAACATCAATGTTGAAATCTCACACAATAGCTAGTATTTTGTAAGAGTAAACCAAAATTCTGTCCCGAAACAAAAACATTTTTAAGAGAAATAAAAGAACTTCCACATGACGATCAGCATTTAGCACCTTGTTCTGCTTTTGCTTCTACTAATCTCAGTGTTATTAACATCACTGATTATCTCTCATAGAGACAAAAGGTCTTGCCTTCGGTCTATAAGGTGTGGTCTCTGAAGACTCACAATGGCCTGAGATCAAATTCAGCCAGATGTTAACAATTTACACAAAGACAAAAATATCTAACAGTAGCTGATGTACTGCCTCACGGTTTCTTTTTAGCTGTAGCCTTCTTGGATTCTTTGCCTTTTCCATTTTTCTCAACCTTTTTACCATCAGCAGCAGCAGCAGCAGCAGGTTTCTCATGATATTTCTTTTCAGCCTCTGGCCTTTCCTTCACCTCATCCTTTTCCACCTTCTTAATCTTCTTTGCTTCTTTAATTTCTGCCATTTTCTCTCTTTCCTCCTTCTCCTTTCTAATTCTTTCCATGGCCTTTTCCACATCCTCGTTCTCTATTCTCTCCCCCTCCTCTTTAAGCCGAGCCTCAGCCCTCTCCCAAGCCTTGGCTTCCGACTCCTCCCTGATACGGTTCAGGGTTTTCTCTTCGTCCTCTTTGGCTAAGATGTGCCTCACTTCCGCCAGTGCCAATTTAGCTATCTTCCTAGCCTCCACTCTTTCGTGGATGATGGTGAGCTGCTGTTTCAGAGCTTCCCTTAGATTCAAGCCAACATCTTTGGCGTGGGAAAGCTCTGGGGAGAGACTTTGTTTGATGATGTGGTTATGGTAACTAAATAATCACTACACACACCTCAAGCCACAATGCAATTAGTTGGAATGATGCAAATCATTTCACATCAGAACTCCATCATTAGTATGTTTCGGATATCTATGGAAGCCCGTTTCCGCCACTTTCTCAAAATTATGACTTAGTATCTCGTTATAATGAGAAACTTTCTCGAAATAATGACTTATTTTCTCATAATAATGACTTAGTTTCTCGTAATAATGAGAAACTTTCTCGAAATAATGACTTATTTTCTCATAATAATGACTTAGTTTCTCGTAATAATGAGAAACTTTCTCGAAATAATGACTTATTTTCTCATAATAATGACTTAGTTTCTCGTAATAATGAGAAACTTTCTCGAAATAATGACTTAACCTAATCCAAAAAAACAAAAAAAAACAAAAAAGACTTCCTCGGCGCCTGCGGAGCGCAAGAGTGACAGCACGCTAGCGCCATCTGTTGGTCAAAGCCATGCAGGAACACCGCTAACATTGCTTTGTTCTGTAATCTAAAGTGTATAATGCTATAGTCTGTCATTAAATAACGATTTCAGATAAATGATCTGTATGTAGTCTTTTGTGTACTAGTTACTCTGCCAGATAGTTATGGCTTCAAACATTCCAGACCAATATTTCAGTTAAGAAATCCAGGCATTTTATGAAGAAATGAAAGCCATTACACATATAAACTTAATTTATAGATGTGTATTTCGATGATTTATTAGTTTTATTAGCTGTCCCTTTCATGCATCACATGCAATGTTAGCGGTGTTCCTGCATGGCTTTGACCAACAGATGGCGCTAGCGTGCTGTCACTCTTGCGTTAGATATCCTCTACACCAGTGGTTCTCAACTTATTTAACTTGATGGCCCCCCGACTGTCCAGCAGAATATTCAAAGGCCCACCATAAAATACTTCAAGTGTTTCTGCTGTAATTATGACAAAGCTGCTCAATTAAAAAAAAAAATTTGACAGAAACTGTGAGTCTCGATATATTAAATTATTTGACCACAATTTATGTGATTCCTGAAGTTTAAGAAACTGTATGCATTTCATATGGAAAAAAATAATAATAATAATAATATTATTATTATTAATTTGTAACTGTATATATATATATATATATATATATATATATATATATAAACCCAATTTAAATCAATTAAGTCATCTTCTGGCCCCCTAGGAAATCCGCAATGGCTCCCTAGACAGCCCTGGCTCCCAGATTGAGAATCACTACTGTACACATTATATTAGAATATATAGGATGTTTATAGTCCACAGTTCCCTGATATTATTTGCAAATAGCCTGGAAAAAGTATACACAAGCCTTACATGTGCATGTAGTTCTTTGTCAAGTCATCATTGTCCATGTCAACTACAAAAGTTTGTATTGTTAAACACTCCTTGGTTAAACAGAAAAATAATACATAGCTTAAAATAGTTTATGTCAGCTCAGTCATGCAAAAAGAAATGTCAATCAAGTAAATCTCTTCAAGATCCCAAACCACACTAGAGGCTAGTCAGCTGCATGCACTCAGACCAAGTGTGCAAAATACCTCCTTTTCTCCTGGAAACATCTTTCTTTTCATCTATAGTGTAAATGTGACAGACAAATAAATTCAGTGACTGCTACTTAAAACAGTTGTACAATGTAAGTCCTGCCATTGAGGTCTTCTTCATACATTTCTTTGACACTAATGATGTCAAAGAGTATACAGCCCATTCACCCATGTCTGCCCTGATTCTATTGTTTGAGTCATCATGCAACACGTAATGGTTGGTGACTAATACTTTTAAATAATTCTAATAGAAAATCTTTGTAAAAATGATGCATATACTATTGAATAAAAAAAAATTACAGTGTGCGTCAACGAATCACTATCTACAAGTAGTGTCTTTTTGTACAACATGTGAGGAGAAGCAATCTTATTAACACAACTAAAATGCCAAACGACACCAACAACTGAAAAATATGGCAACAATTGCAAAATAATTCAACCAAATTATTTGAATTGTCGATTTACCAAAATAAACACTAAAACTGTACTTGAAATGTTTGAAGGTATATTTGCGATATAAGTGGTATTAAAGTGGTAATGAAGGAAATACTAACAATTGATTTTTTAATCTAAATTCCTAATTGTACACACTTCATTTTCTTAAAATACACTTCCAGACACAAAAGCAGCCATTTCTGTAAATTTCTGCAGTAAATATTGTACTTTTTGCATACAAAATATTTAATATATTCACATTCATAGCCCTCCCAATTCTCTCCTAGTAATACAGAATCCATATTACTTATCAGGCACACCGTTTCAGGTGCTTTAGATTGGCAGGTAGGAACTGATTGTTGACGGTTACAGAACTCTGGGGTTCAGGAGACGTCTCCTACACATGCCACTGAACTAGTTCTTGGCTGATGAATTATGAACTTCCTGAATTGACAGCCATGTGCAATCTCTTGATTAAATCAGCTATATGTCCGTTTAAACCATAATACAAGTTTCCTACCTAAATTTTGTTAATTGAGGTAATACTGCAAGAGGGGTGGGATATATTCATACTGTGTATCTAAGCTATCAATATTCTCCAAATCTCTGATGAAGGAGAGCAAAGGCAACTCACAAGACAATGAAGAAACACAACAACGTAACTGACAACGTTATATAAAACTGCCTATTCTGTAATGAGCAGTACCAAAAAAAAGTTTAAAGGAAATATAAAACACAAAAAAGATCTATCTCCGCTGAGTTGCTGAGGATGCAAATCACCCCAAAATGCAATTATTGTGTAATATTAAATGGCTCAAAATAAACTATTCAGATCCGAAAGACAGAGAGAAGTAATAGTCAGATTATAAACAAGATGTACAGTGTTAAACTGTAAGACTTAAATAGAAATACATACTGTTGTTCATGATATAAGGAAACTGAGGCATGCAGCAAAGGTGATATGTTCAACTTACAGCACTAAGGTCATATGCAAAAAGGTAAATAGTGTATTAGTAGTTGGAAACAGCCGTTGCAAAAGAGCTGCAATGAAGCATAAACTACACAAGTTCAATATTTACAAATATGTAAATGTTCATAATGGCATCATCTTCTCAAGAGCTCACAAGTCCCAAAGTGACTGATGGCGTTCTTCCCAACAAAATATTTCTTCAAGTGTTAGGAACCGAATCAAGTCGTCAAAGGAGCAAGTCCTCCTCTAATAAAGTGTCACAATTGCGGTAGAAAACACAACTATTGATTTTGAAGGCCTAAAATAACGCATGTCTTTTGGCCCTGAACCCCTTCAGTCTGTGACGCGCCAGCAACATCCTCCGCTGCTGCCTCGGTTTCTTCATCCTCTAGCGTTTCAAAAGGACTCATAATGTCATAAAGGAAGGTGAAGAAACCTTGAAACCAATCAGTGCCCTCTTCTGCTAAAATATCGAGGACTTCCTCAAGGGAGTCTGAGTTTTCTTTGCTGCCATCTTTGGTCAGCCCTATGTAAACGGGAGAATAAGGAAAAAGAGAAAGAGAGGGAAAGAAAGAGCAGTGGGAGAGCAAGAAAATAGAGAGAGGGTGGTGTTTGTTTGCAAGGTTTAGTAGATAAGGATTCAGTGCTATAAAAAAAGAGGGTAAAGATGCTATTAAAGCTTAAACTGAGGTAAAGGAGAAAGGGGACATGCATGGGAAGGACCAATGGGGCTGTTTTTGATGAATATATGTCTCAGTTACTTGTGAAATCAGTTCAACTACATGCTAATTGTAAAAATAAATATCTTTAATTTCTTTCCTTACGATATGACTTTGCCTTAAATGTAATATTGGCAAGTTGGTCTAATTTACAAAATCATGCAATAAGCCACTAATCTCTCAGCACTTCTTCTCCAAAATGGTATGTTGTTTGAATAAAATGATCATTATAAAAGCATGAAAAAGTACCATGCACATGCATCTGATTTAATATGAAACTGCACAAAAGTGAACCAAAGTCAGTCATGCAAAACATTTTCTGGTCAAATTTCATTGGAATCACTGCACTTGCCTAGTAGTACTTTAGCATCTTCCACATCAAAGTCTCCATCACCATCAGCATCATAGGACACAAGTTTACCTAGTAAAGTAAAGTGAATCTGATTTAGTCATTTGACATGGGTTGTGAATAATCCAATGTGCCATATATGGAACTAAAAGTCCTATAGCACTGTTAAAAAGCTCTTATTTGTCTTCTATCAAATAGTACAAGGTTTCCTGTAATACTTTGAACTAAGACATGTCCTTAATCTTATTTTAAATAATTCTGTAGCAAATAAACTTTATAACTTTAAAACAACTTTTCTTAAGAAGTCACTAACAAACATCATTACATTAACATTTTATCATATTCAAATAGTTAGAAAATACACACTCCCATCCAAAAGTTTTGGAGTCCGTTTTTTGAAAGAAGTGTCTTATGCTCACCGAGGCTGCATTTATTTAATAAAAAATACAGTAAAAACAGTCATATTGTCAATTATTATTATTAAAAATTTTAATTACTGGTTTCTATTTTAATGTATTTTATTCCTGAATTTTCAGCATCATTACTCCAGTCACATGATCCTTCAGAAATCATTCTAATATGCAGATTTGATGCTCAAGAAACATTTCTTATTTTTTATCAATGTTAAAAACAGTTGTGCTGCATGCTTAATATTTTTGTGGAAACCATGATACCATGATTTTCTTTGATGAACAGAAACATCAAATAAACAGCATTTATGTAAAAAAAAAGTTATAACATTATAAATGTCTTTACTGTCACTTTTGATCAACTTAATGTATCCTTTCCGAATAAAATTTGTTTATTTGAAAAAAATTATTAAAATCTTACTGACCCCAAACTTTTAGAGTACATTTATATGTAGTATATATTTATATTAAAACTATGGAAAATGACACTAAAACGGAACTAATAATAAAATGGCAGGTTTACTTCCCCAGTTTGTAATTGAAGATGGTAGGTTTAAAAATGAGGTTTATGGTGGTGATTCTATTCACTGGTTCAGATGTCATACCTTGTAGTACCTCTGAAAGATTATAGTGCAAGTCCTTTGCTTTGGCTGCATGCAAATTAAGGCCAGATATACAAAAATAAATTACATAACATTTATGTATTAAGTATTTTTAAAACATCAATCAAGATATACACAAAATCTGAATAAGAGAAACCAAAGACTCACCAATTACACCTTGATAGTCAACAAGGTCAAAATACACCACAGCCACAGAGGTCCAGACGCCCAGGAGAGCCAAAACCATGAACAAGCTGAAAAACGAGGTTCCTCCTCCAACCTCTGCTTTCTTTCCATTCTTATGTGCCTGCTGTGGCTTGGCCTCTGAAGGATAAAAGAATAAGAATGTCACGAAGAAATGAATAAAATCTAAAGTTTATGAATTTAAAATGTATTCATTTAACAAAATCAAATCAATGCAGCACAGCAAAACCCGTGTAAATGCGGAATACATGCTCAAAATTTAACCATGACTTTGAAAGTAAGATTAGTCCTTTAGTATTACGGTACACACAAGTATTCACTCAAGGCCACTAGTCAATAGACTATGTAGTGTTAGCTTTGAAGACCAATCAGTTCATTCTATATTCAAATGCATGTATACGATCCAAAGGATTTCTGGTTCAAATGAAAGATTTCCTTTAAGATGTTTAACTATTCCATCAGAAATCACATCTATAGTAATCACAAGGTGACAAATCTCTAAAGGAGTGCAGTTATTCTGAGGTCTGTTGACACTTCTCATGGAACCGCGGTATAAATACATCTGCATTTAGAGCTCTAGTGGGAAGAATGAACAGGTGTTTTGTCCGCTACGTTCTGCTAGGTCAAATCCACACATTTGTTCATGTGCATACGCACACTACAAATGTTAGTAACAGATATACAGACAGCAATAACAACACTAATAGTGTTACAACTAAAGAAATTCTCTTTTTATAGTTTGTGTAGGTGTCACGTATAAACTGATTGCACAATAAAACTTTATAACAATACATTTCAAAACACTTAAGCACCCCCCCCCAAAAAAAAACCATCAAATTGTTGCTGCTCATATACAAAAAATACAAATTAAACCTAAAAATTAAGTATTAAATATTATTATATATTCTTTTTCAAATGTTAAGGTTTTCTCTCACACCCCCGTGATTTGTTAAATGTCATCTCTCGTCATAAAAGTTTATTCCAAATCATAAAAATACTATACCGGTTTCTTCGTTCACCACCTTGACCTCTGCATTAGGCTCCCCCATTCCTCCAAAGCAAAATGGGGAAAAAGGAAGCGTCTTTCACCCCAAACCCCTGCACAACAGCAGGTCTCCTGCCTTTTTGTTCCTTGTGAATTGAGCCGGAACTTAATATGGAACTCGACCAACAAATGGATTATTTTTAGAACTGTCCACTTGAAAGCCAGAAAACATCAAGCCCTCGTAGGAAAGGGTAGAGGCAAATCCCACTCCATCCCGCTGTTCTTAGTCACATATGAAAGCTGAAATGGTTGATTTGTCACCCAAATTACTATACTTGACAAAAGAGTAACACACAATGGAGGATACACTGCTTTGTCACATACATGCATTTTAATGACATGCAAATCAAACTTTGGAAGGCGTTTTTCAGCCTCCTGGCAGAGGAGCATTTAAATCTTGGCAAACTTACAGTGAATCTCCTGACACAGAGCTATTTATTTTCCATACAAGGACCGGTCTCCCGAGTTTCTTGATGAAATAATAAACATGTTAGCGGTGGCTTCTGCTTGGATTTGGCAAAAACAAACTAGCCATATAGCTGAAACAGAAAAACCTGCATCAAGCTAACATTATCAGCAAAGTAAAACGACCAAAATCTACTTACGTAATCTTCTATCCTCATCAAGAATATCACTTACTCAAAAGATCTCTCTTGTGCTCTCTAGGGCTGCATTTATTTGATAAAAAAATATAGTAAAAACAGTAATACTGTAAAATATTACAGTTTAAAATAACTGGTTTTTATTTTAATATACATTAAAATTAAATTTATTCCCGTTTCTTTTTTTATCCGGTCTCCAGCATTATTGAAATCAGATTTAGTGCTCAAGAAACATTTCGTATTATTATCAGTTTTGAAAATCATTATGCTGGTTAATATTTTGATCAGAATCCTTACTAAAAAGTATTAATTTCTTATATATATATATATATATATATATATATATATATACACACACACTACTGCTCAAAGTTTTGGGATCAGAAAGACTTGTAATGTTTTTTAAAGAAGTCTCTTATGTTCATCAAGGCTGCATTTATTTGATCAAAAAAACAGAAAAAAAACCCAGTAATCTTGCAAAATGTTATTACAATATAAAATAATGGTTTCTATTTGAATATCCTTTAAAATATAATTTATTAATTTATTTCAACGCTGAATTTCCATCAGCCATTACTCCAGTCTAAAGTGTCACATGATCCTTAAGAAATAATATTCTAATATGCTGATTTACTATTAGAAGAATTATCAATGTTGGCAACAGTTTTTTTTTTTGAAAAACAGAATGGTTTGGCTTCAGTTTTGTGAAACTATAAATAAAAATATCTGCATGAAACAGCGGAGCTGAATGAGATGCAGATTCACTCTCTGCCAGCAGGTGGCGCTTAAAGCATTTCCTTGGTTTCCGCTGTAAACAAAGCAGCGCTGAACTTATGAACTTTAATATGCGTTATACAGAGGCAAGATGAAAAGAAAAAAAGACCATCTAAACTTTTATAAAGACAGTAAGTTCCCCTCAGACATGCATTCATATAAACTCCTACACCTAAATGAATCGCGATTTGTTTAGCATCTCAACCGATTTGAATCGTCACATATTTGAATCGAATCGGCTCGCGGTTAATCGTTACATCCCTACCGATCCGATACCAGCAGAGTTTTTTTTTTCTATCCACCTTTTTCTTCAAAGCGAAAGTAAGCCTATGGGTGAAACTTCCAGTTCAATAACGAGGAGAATGGACTCTGTGCACAAGCGTAGCGACGAACTTCCGCTGTCGCCAGAAGTCGGGATATCAGTTTCCGGTTTTCATTCGCGTCGCCCAAAATGTCAGTATTTTCTAGATGTCTCAGAGATCTACAAGTAAGAATCAGCGATGTCCATTGTATCGTTAATGCCCGGTTCCCTGCTCCAATACGCAAGCGAAACAAGGGATTCAAACGAAAATTGTATTAAACTTCTCCCCCTCTCAGTTTTTAATAAAGATCAGGCACAGGTGAAGTCATTGTCTGGTCATTGTGCTACAGGTCCATTTACGCTTGTGCACAGAGTCTATAGCAACGTGCAGTAAACAGTAAAACTGTTTGCACTACAAACCAGTGTGTTCATAATTAAGATAATACATTAAAATAATATGATAAGACACACCAACTTTCAATATCAAGCAGCAAAATGAACTGTTTTGTTCAGCTAAAAATAGCTGTAAGGAGTGGACGCAGCAAGACCCATAGAATTTACAAATTCATCATCACTCTTTTGTGTAATATACACAATCAACTAGACAACTTCATTATAAAGAAAAATATATAAACAATCTATGAGAAAAATACTATTATAAACTAGGTTAGTGGATAATTCAGCAGCAAAAGTTACTCTACAAAAATTATGAGTTCACAATAATTTTATAAAATCTAAACATTTAAAGAAAAAACTTATATGCAATAAATTAAATACATTTCTTTTACATTTATAGCACAGTAATGAGGCAGCAACATATGACAGATAAGACTATTAACAAGCTTTCATTGCGCAAAAGTATTATAATAACATTAGGGATGCACGATATATCGGCCACCATATCGGTATCGGCCCATATCGGCTCATTTTTTCTGTTATCGGTATCGGCCTGATAAGAAAATTTGGCCGATATTTTAAAGCCGATAAATAATGCATTATTTCCTTCAGAGACACTTCAGATGCGCGCTGTTCGTTTGCAGCCTTTTGTGCAATTGTACGTTGTAATATTGTGTTTATTTGATGTATATCTGATTTATCTCATATAGAATGCGTTTGGTTAAGTTAAAAGAGCGCTTCAGTTTACCGGTGATCATCTTTAGCTCAGCACACGCAGCTCAAACAGCAGTGCACAACATTAATAACTATGATTGGGAATGTCGTGTATATAACATTCTAATGAGAACATTATTATAATAAAACGTTGTGAATTCTTTGTGTTTAGTTGCTTAGTTGCCGTGCGTTGTTATGGGAAGAGCGCATCCACAACAGGATCACACATTCTGACTATAGCATGCAATAACTGCGTCACTGCGTCATTATATAAGTTGTAATATTATGTTTATATTGTATTAATATTAATCTCAGGATGCATTTCCTTGAATTAAATAAGCTGCCAGCAAAACGCTTCAGTTTACCATGTTCACTCAGCTCTTCAGCTTCAGCTTGAGCTGCAGCTCAATGGCTGCTATTTAAAACAGTGGTATTAATTTGTTACTTTTTCAAAATCATTGATATATTATTAATAACAACAACCACTTGTATTTTTCTCTTATTATTTTCATCAACAATATGGTTTAGTAATTAAAATCATTTAATTATTGTCCGTGCAAAGGCTATTCCGTTTTATTGATCTGTGGCACATTCATTTTGATTCTTTACACGTGTAATGATGTCCAGTGACTTGTTTGCATTATTTATGCATAATATTATTTATTTGTAAGACTTTTTTATGACTAAATTTGGTAATGGGAGAGTAAAAATATTTTTAAAACGTACACCGTTCAAACTAGGCTGCTTATGTTGAAGTGTTTGGGATGTGGCTTTTAATGATGAGACCTTTTTTGTAATCAGGCTCTCAAAAAGTATATAACAATTTGGATATAGATTTATCGGCCAACATATCGGTTAGGGATGCACCGATATGAAAATTTTGGCCGATACCGATAACCGATTATTCTTTATTTTTGAAAGCCGATAACCGATATGTTGGCCGATAAATCTATATCCAAATTGTTATATACTTTTTGAGAGCCTGATTACAAAAAAGGGCTCATCATTAAAAGCCACATCCCAAACACTTCAACATAAGCAGCCTAGTTTGAACGGTGTACGTTTAAAAAATATTTTTACTCTCCCATTACCAAATTTAGTCATAAAAAAAGTCTTACAAATAAATAAAATAATGCATAAATAATGCAAACAAGTCACTGGACATCATTACACGTGTAAAGAATCAAAATGAATGCGCCATAGATCAATAAAACGGAATAGCCTCTGCACGGACAATAATTAAATGATTTTAATTACTAAACCATATTGTTGATGAAAATAATAAGAGAAAAATACAAGTGGTTGTTGTTATTAATAATATATCAATGATTTTGAAAAAGTAACAAATTAATACCACTGTTTTAAATAGCAGCCATTGAGCTGCAGCTCAAGCTGAAGCTGAAGAGCTGAATGAACACGGTAAACTGAAGCGTTTTGCTGGCAGCTTATTTAACTCAAGGAAATGCATCCTGAGATTAATATTAATACAACATAAACATAATATTACAACTTATATATGTACAAAATGACGCAGTTATTGCATGCTATAGTCAGAATGTGTGATCCTGTTGTGGATGCGCTCTTCCCATAACAACGCGCTGAAACACAGCAACTAAACCCAAAGAATGCACAACGTTTTATTATAATAATGTTCTCATTAGAATGTTATATACACAACATTCCCAATCATAGTTATTAATGTTGTGCACTGCTGTTTGAGCTGCGTGCGCTGAGCTAAAGACGATCACCGGTAAACTGAAGCGCTCTTTTAACTTAACCAAACGCATTCTATATGAGATAAATCAGATATACATCAAATAAACACAATATTACAACGTACAATTGCACAAAAGGCTGCAAACGAACAGCGCACATCTGAAGTGTCTCTGAAGGAAATAATGCATTATTTATCGGCTTTAAGATATCGGCCAAATTTTCTTATCAGGCCGATACCGATAACAGAAAAAATGAGCATTTATCCGCCGATACCGATATGGTGGCCGATATATCGTGCATCCCTACAAATGAACATACTAATGATGGCAACAGCTAAGAATGTCAAATATGATCATTACAAAAGAGTGAGGAGGAGACGATAGGAGGAGAAGAAAACAAAATCACTTCAGCTATAAAACAAAAGGACACAATCTCTTCAACAACGCTGTGCAGTGAGCGGTGTTGAAACTGAAAGTGATCAAAAAAATTGGACAAAAAAGGCAGTAGTATTATGGGTGACAGACAGGTAATACAACGTATTAAAAAAAAAAAAAAA